AGAGACTAATTTTGTTATTTCTTATTCATGAATGAATGATAATTCAAAAATAATCCAGATTTTTTTATTCATTATTCAATGTAACTTTCATCGAACGGCTTTCTATTATACCGACGTTATTCCGACGTTATACGTTATACCGACGTTATACCGACAGTATCGATACATTTGTTCACGACGACGATCGGCCGTCATATTCAAAGCTGTCGCTCACGCTGTCGCGCGACCGGTCTATACGCGCTCTCATTGGTCAGTGTTTTTCATTAATAATTCAAAAACTAAGCTTTAACCAGCATTTTGGTAAAGGAAAAAGTTGTTCAGAATCACTCCAGCTACCACCCCCTAAAATTATGCCCACCAGTAGCCGAACACCCTGTATAAGAAGGCCCTTCGACGGACCTCTACACTCAATCCTAAGTTAAACTTTACTCTGTGCGGCAGTCACTGTAATAGTCTGAATAAAAATAAACGTCTAAAACAACATCCAGCTGAGTTCTTCCTGATTTGACCACAATATTACCAACGAGCCATATCGTGTTGTTGCGAATCAAATATCGAGATCTTTCTATAATACTTTTGTAACAAGTGTTTATATTGTAAAGTGTTGCGGTTGAGAAATAAAGTTTTTTTTAAAACACAAACGGAGTGATTTCCTGCGTAACAAGACATATTTTTACATACGATCGAAATACAATGAATGTCATTCTATACAAAGGTTCTAGAACGCGGCCGTGCGATAGTCATCGGATGCAGACAGTCTTATTCTTTACAAATCTCATACATTTGAAATGTATGCAGCTAATTGCTGCAGAGTTGTTCAGTAACTCTTTTACTTTCATTATTCGAGAAATAGAAGTTTCCTGACTGAATTATATGGGCATATTTCAACTGATCTCTACGAATCTGTTTTGCTAGTCTTAACTCTCGTTAAAATGAATGAAGGTACGTGGAATAAAATCTAGTCGAAATAGAATATCGATCGCTGTATTTATTTACATCCTATATCTTCTTTGCGGAATACTATGAATTAAGGAATTCAATAGAAATAATAAATATTTTCTACATCGGTATTACTTCTTAAATTTGATTGTCGTCGACCGAAATAGTATGAACAACTTTTAGAACAATGTAATTATAAGTCTATAAACACTATACAGGTCGGTAATACACATGCACAAGAGACATTCGACGTACAATAAGGAACTTTATCTTACTGGTAATTCAAAATTATAATATTAAAAATATCAGTTTTAACTAATTCAATGTGTTAAAATTCCATATTCTACTTTTAACCGATTCATATGTCATCCAAAAATCAGTTGAAATAAGCATCAGAAATGATAAGTAAACGTATGATCATAAACTTACCTGGATATCGAAGTAAGACAATTCTCTGACAAATTCAGGTGCCTTAAGTTAGTTGTATCTGAAAAAATTCTATCTGGTAGTGTAATTAATCTATTGGAATTTAGGCTTAAGTAAGACAATTGCTGTAGTCTTTCAAAAATACGTTTAGGTAGTGTCTCAAAATAATTTTTTTCTAGATCAATATAATCTAATGATATTAAGCCCCAAAACAGGTCTTCAGGTATTGTGCTCCAACTATTGTGATTCAAACGTATATCTCTCACACGTATCAAATTTGCGAAAAATTTTTGTGGCAGAGATATGTTTCTGGTATTATGCGACAAATCAATGGTCATAAGATGAGAATTATGCTTTAGTATACCTTTTGGAAACGAGATAAAACTGTTATTACTTAACGTTAGCCATGTTAGACTTTCCAGTTTTGCGAAAATGTTCTCTGGCAAAGTGATTAGATTACTCGAATTCAATTCCAGACGCGTCAAAGACGCGAGGTTATCAAATATCCCAGGTTTCAGTTCTTTATCTGTGAAATTGTTTATCCGCAAGCTCAACACACGCAATTTCGTCAACGGATCAAATATACCCGGCTCGAGGTGATTCATCATGCTACCACTTAAGTGAAGTCTTCGGAGGTTTCGTGTATTATTAAAGATTCCCAAAGGTAAACAGGCTTTATTATGTTCCAAAGAAAGCTGAGAAAGATATGGTACATCTGCGAATAGGTCGGTGCTCAAATTCGTAAGATCGCTACTTAACAGCACGAAATGTTTCAGGTTTGGAAACCTTTTCAAATGGTTTCTGACGATGGCACCGCTCCAATTATGCAGCTGTAAATAATAGATATCCTTCCCGTTGAATGTACTCGAAATTTCACTTATGCTCGAGTTCATTTGCAGACCGCATTCCGATATTTTCATCCACCTTATATGCTCTTTCAGGAATAAGTTGAACAAGTAGAATGGGGGCCATTGCGGATAATTTTGACATTTGATCTAAGTAATTGAAATTGTTTTTTTTATTGCAACGGATAATATTAATCTTAGTAATTTGAACTGAACAGTGTTATTATAAGTGTTATAGAAATATATGATAAAACACGGGCTCTGTCAGGATTGGAACGAAAGGTGTCACACGTTACATTCTGGTTTGAATAAAATTTTGCATAGTGAAATACCGACTACTCTGATATACGGAAGTTGTTACGTAAGCTGTGTGTCTATCTCTATGTTGATGCTGCACGTTTAAGCGTAGTTCGCGACTTCCGTGAAGCGAGAGAACAGCTTTGTTGCCTATAAAATGCTTTTTATTTGGTAGCGCGCTAGAACTTTCCGAAACTCAAAGTCAACGCGAAGGAGAATCATCGTACGAAAACTTCACTTTGATCTATTCCCACCTTGTGCTCTGAGTGATTCGTATGTTTCCTTAACACTTTAACGACCGCACGTCTACGCAGTCAAACGTCGCCAGGGGCCGGCAGTATTTTTGAAAAATTAATTTAAAAGAACTTTATTAAATTCACGAAAAAATTAACATAAAACAAAAAACTACAACAATTTAACAACAAATTTAATATTTCGTAGGGCGCCGACATTTGCTCCGTAATTTACATGGTACACCACTGTAGTGTAAAATGTAAAATTAAAAATAGGCAATAATTACCTAAAATCAAAGACGTGGCAATAAAATACGAAGCCGATAGCAATATCTACACTTCTTTACTTTCATAAATTATCACACAGAAAGTGTGGCACTGGACAACAACCTTCGGCGGTAGCAATAGAGCTGTTTTGTCATCAGTATTTCGGAAATATACTTCTACATACATCTGAAACCACGTGTCAGTGATATTGGTATTTCAAACCCTAATATTGAAGAATATTAAAATGAACTTGTTCAATTTGGAGACTTTTTTTCGTTAAAGTAATCCGGAACCTGACAGAACCCTTATTTCTCTTCCTTACTACTGTATCGATTCAGGAATTGTAATTTTTTACGACTTAATGTACAATTTTGCAAAAGTGTATAATTTAATATTTATACTTATGTTTACATGAATTTTGGTGTATGCAGTGATATCCACACGGAAGGCTGAGTTGTTTCCTGTGGGGCAGTTCCAAACTTCTTTACGCACTGGTAGGCATGGAAATGCATTTGATTCGCTGTATGCAGTGAGAATGATTGGAAAAATGATCCAAAACGTGCCAATCATTTGATAAATTTTTATGTAAAAACGATACTTTCTGTAACAGAAAATTAGACGATCCTTTGCAAAATTTTGTGTCTTATAAGTAAATTTTAAACTGTATTTCTAATTCACGCTGAAGATAGAGATAAATATGTACATACATATGCTGTCAACTTCAAAAGGTTGCAGCCGACAGTCATTGTTTCTGAAAAAATTACAAATAAAAAAAGGTTGAAAAACATAGGTTACATAAATTACTTAAATTGATCATATTAGGTTAGGTTAAGTTTGTTGACAAGCCTACTTCTGTAAGCAAGTTATGCTGCAGAAGAAGACCGTAGAGCGGGTCCGTGAATGAGCGGATGCGCGTAGGAGAGCTAGAGAAACGACAACACTATGCGGCCGTTGATTCATAGATGGGGGAAACAGTCAGGGCCGCCGTGGGTCACAACTAGACTCTCCCAGATGAGGGTGGCAGGCCAGCGGTACCTCGTTTCTATGGTAAGGCCGCTTTATCATTGCCGGCGGACAAACGGTAGCTCCGAGGAGGTCTTGTGCCTTCCCTCGCAGAGTCGTCGCAAGGGCAATGGCGTCCTGAAAGGGGATCCAGGACACCCTGCGCGATGTCGCGGTAGGTCGGCGGTCCGGGCACCGCCGTAAACATTAATTTTGTTTTATGGGAAAAGGTTGGAAAGACTTCCCCCGGGATGACATTCAATGGCGCGGAGGCCCCAGTCATGTTCTTCAAGAGTTCCTGAGGGTCCCTTCATGCGTCGGGGAAGGACCAACGTGGGGGATTTAGCCGATAAGAATCCGGCATTACCCCGTGCCCCTGAAGGAGGAATCTTTGGAACATTTCCCCGTCGTAAAAGAAAGGTTTGTTGACAACCAGTCAAGTCAATTTCTGGACTTAAAGAAAAAGCTTTGTTGACAACATATTCTTACTCATGTAGTTATCGTTTAATCAATGCAAATAAAAACTTGAAAAGTCATAAATAGAGTACCACCTTATACATAAATACAAGTTCATTGATCTTCTACACTGTACAGTGCGAATCTCACTTCAACTTAAGCAGCACATAAAAAGTACATATTCGCTTTTCTGCACTTTAAATAACTTTGCTTTCGATATATCATAACTATTTCCACATAAATATCAATCCTTTATGTCTATTAATGTTCAAAATAACTACTATATTTTTAACCTTTTTTGTTTATTCCTTTTATAGTAATGCGACAAGGGAAGGACTAACAAGACAACATACCACGTATGTCAGATTTCTACAGGGTGTCTCGTAACTAGTGTTACTGCCTGAAAGGGGTGGTAGAGGATATCATTCTGAACAAGATTTGTCTATGCAATAATAGGGTTTGAAGCTTCGTTTTTAAATTATTAAGGAAATACATGGACCAATCACAGCGTGAATATTTTGCGTGCTCAGATGCGAGAGCGATAGCTTCGAAAATGACGGTCCATCGTGATCATGAACAAGCACATCGATACTGCATCGGTCTAGGATCGGTATAATAGAAAGCTGAAAGTTATATGTTAGATGAAAATTACATCGCATAACAAATAAAAAATCTTAACTATTGTTGAATTATCATTCATTAATAGATAAGAAATAAAGAAATTAGTCCTTACTCACGTAATCAGAATAAATCGAATTTATTCGATACATTTATATGTCATTGCAAAGCTTTAATTATCATTTTTCCTTGTCAGTTTTCACTAATTAGTCATTGCGAGTCCGACACGTAAATAGACCGACTGAAAACACGCGAACGAAAATTCATGAATAATTTTAACTTTATTGTCTTTATAGCAAAAAAGCGGAATTTTCGATTAAAAACTACGATATTTTATTCCGCCTAGCTTTTTTTCGACAATAAACGATGACTGTCTCGATCGACGCCACAGCCGTTCAACATAACATCATTGCATAGCAACCGTTTGCGACGCACTGTTGTGATATGACACATTACCATCGATGTCTCATCCTCCATAGTCACCGTATAATTTCAAAGGGCACCGATATCCGAAAGCAACACGGTCGTCATCCTCCATGCGTCACAACCGCCCTATCAACCTAAGCGTCATAGTTTGTATTTCAAAGGACATAAAAACCCGGACATTTCCTCAAAACAATTCAGTTATCCTCAGTCTGTCAATCTATACCACAGTGTTCTGTACGTGGTCCCGGACCTTTTGAATAAACCTTGAAAGTAGCAATTTTGGTAGTGGTTGATTACGTGTCCTTGCTGCGGCTTAAAGTACGCCATGCAATCGAAAACGAAGCCGCGATTCGTAGCCAATCTAACAATGTCTTCTAATAAAATATAATGTAATATTGGGTCCTCAATTCGGATACCTTATAATGAGAATGTAGAGTATCGTTAAACATACATATCTATGAATAATCGTTCACGCGTTTTCATTCAATCTGTTTACCGGTCGTGCTTATGTTGTGCAATTATTAGAAAGAGACAGTAAAATGATTTGTGAGTTCATTGACCCTGCCAGAACATCAACTGTTGATACTCTAATCGGAGCATCTATCCGATGACAGAAATAGTTTTTATCGAAGCTAGTTTTATTAATAGGTAAGTTTTGTTTAAGTTGTTTGTCCTTGTTTAAAATTAAACGTACACAGTAATTGTATATTTATTTCACTTTAGTGAGTTACTGCATTAAATACTCCATTCCAGTTCCATTTCATTTCATAGGCAAAATACACATTCGTTTTGAAATGAATTTGTAAATTTATTCGTTTGCTTCATTAGAATAGTTGACAAAATTAATTTTCGTGAATTTTTTCTTTATTCCTTTTCGAAGGCATAAAATAAGTACAGTATACTTGGTCTAGATAAACAATAACTAATTGGTTTATCTCCTATTTAAGAATAGTGAAGAACTTAATATGATTCTTAACTTCATAATTTATTATTCAATTTAACTTTCACCTAATAGCTTCCTATTATACCGACACGGTATCGATACGCTTGTTCACGACGATGATTGGCCGTCACATTCGAAGCTGTCGCTCTCGCATCTGGGCGCACATCATTCTCGCGCTCTCATTGGTTAGTGCTTTTCCTTAGTAATTCAAAAGCGAAGGTTCAAACCCCATTTTTGCAAGAGAAAATCTTCTTCAGAATAACGTCCTCTACCATTCCTTTCAGGGAATAACACTAATTACAAGACTCCCTGTATTTTATAATTATGGCGTGCGAATTTTACAATGGCCGAAGTAACCGCTGAAACATCTGGTGCCTCAAAATGTTATATACAACGCATTACAATTTAGGTCGATAAAATAATACATTACTTCGATAATTAATCATTCATATTAGTTGATTATTATGAATTAATTTTGTGTGCTCTGATTTATTTAACAATTACTGTTACGCGGCCAGATACCGCGTCCGTTATTTTCGTAAAGAACATTTAATATTTACACAACTATAACCATTGTCCGCACGAATTCTGACTCTCTACAGCAGCAATAAACTCATGAAGCCAGTACGAACTCCGCGAGTTTCTTTAGAGTCACCATTTGCCCATGTTTATTGCCGGTAATAGTTTTTAGCTTTTCGCTTTTTTCAAACACATGTTTTCTTCATGTCAAGGCGCATCCTAATTTTATTGCTTGCTAAGGTCAAGGGTCCATCTAATAAATCAAGGCAACATGACCATTTCAGGGTTTTTCCCAAAAACCCTGACGTCACATGTGGGCGGTCACTTAAGATCCCTGACTACACATTTCTTCACACCAATCACAAACAACTACCCCCTGACACTACCTTGTTAAACACATCCACACGAACTTACTTACACGACATCTCATCACCCAAAAATCAGAACTCTACAAACATCCGACACAATCATACACTTTTAAACTCCATAGTCTTTTTAAAATAAACAGCATTTTAGTTAAAGTTCAAACATAGTCTCTAATTTAAACACCCATAGAATCATCCTTACCGCGGTATCTACCTGTTAGGAAATACGTTAATTCGGGACATCAACATAAATCGAGTGAGGACTTACAACCCTCATAGGCGCGAGTTGCTACGATTCGGTCTTGTCGCGAGGGACGTAACAATTACGTAATAACTCTAATAATTTGTGAACTAAAGGATATGTATGATTGACTGCTTAGTTAAATACATATTGTAACTTATTTATTTCACGACGCGGTTGGTAAAAGAAAAAGAAAACTGCAATTGATAATCAGAGATGTACAATAACAGAAAAAAAGTTTATATCGAGATGTTACACAATAGAGTGTTTAAGCAAAACTAATCGAGCAATTGATGTTTGATTAGAAAAAGTATTCACAGTATAAATAGTTATAGCGCACAGGAAAAGAATTACAAAACGCGAGCGAATAAAGTGAAATGATTTGTTGAAAATCAGATATAGAACTTGTTAGATATCCCGTAGTAATCGTAAAGCATAGGTCGAAATATTATATAGCGTCACTAATATTCTAGAAACGCAAACGTTCTCGAAAAGTCGAACTGTACTGCGACGCAAGAGATTGTAGGCTGCTCCGCGAAGTAAGAGGCAAAGCGCATCACGCGAAGCCGCGAGCAGTGAACCTAACGACGAATCTGTTGATAACGTGGCCGCAGGATAGCAACCGGTGTATATAAAATAGAGGCTTGCGACAGGAGCCGGCCTATTTGGAAATCTAAGAGAGAGAACGAGGAAAGGTCCATCGGTCGCTCTTGGACTAGCCTAAGGAGGAGAGTTCGACGACCAATAATTGGACACCTGTCTGGAGAATAGGAGCAGAGTACGGAAGTTTGTTTCTGGACACTCGTTCGATACGGAAAGATTGGCGAATATTCCTGGACGCCTGTCAATCGAGAGAGGACAGAGCATGTCTTGGACGTTCCGAGTTAAGTACAGGAAAGTACGGGAGAATACTTCTGGTCACCCGTTCGTTATGGAGAGTTTGGAGAAAATGCCTGAATGTTATTCGAACGGGAGAGAACAGAGATCTCATCCATTCCTTTGAAACACTAAATTTCTCCATGTTGGAAAGATTTCGACGATAGAACGAAACTAATAGTACTAGCACGTTATAGTGTACTGCAGCGAGGAACACGACCTAAGTGTGATTCTCTAAGTGTACCTAAATACGCTTTCACAGAGTTAGACAGATTAATGATTTTATCTGATATCTAATGCGGTGT